CTGCCGATTAAAATGGATTGCGTATGTCAAGTTTTAATATCGACAATCATGCAGCAAGGATGTCGGTTTTCGAATAAGTTATTTTCCGGGCTATCTACATGAGCCACAAAGGGTAAAAAATGACAAAAGGTGTAGTATTGATCTTTTTAATTGAGATTCGTCACCGCTTATTAATTTAAATATATTTTATAAAAAACACGCATGAAATATGTTTTCTTGTATTCATTTTGTAAGTAGCCATGTCTTTTAAATGTATTTTTGAAGATACAATATCCTTTCATTATGAAAAGTCTTTAAATATAAGATTTTTGAAGACCGTAGAATGTCAATTTATATATCACGCGTCAGTATGAGCATAAATACGGCATAAAAAATGTACAACACAAACCACATTCATTGCCGAATTTCCTAAGCCGCATATAACGTCTTTTTAAAAGCGAATAAAAATACATGACTCTAACTGAAAAGAAAATATACAGCATAAACTTTTAAGATCATAAAGGCAAGTATGACCGTAGATTGGATTCAAGATGAGTCAAAAAAGCAAGCAATTTTATAACCGAAAGATGCCGTATCAGTTGAGTATAATAAGTGAGAGAGACGTGATTCTTGAACACATTTGTGCGTGAGGGAATATTCTTATTCATGTTTTCTACAAAAAAGTTTGAATCTGTAAAGAATCGAAAATCACAAAGAAACTTCATACTACTTAACTGGCAGTTGTAGTCGATCAAGGGCCGCCTCACCTATGAGTCCGCATGTCGGGGAACTCATTTTCATGTCCTAGACCTGCGCAAACCTATCAACGATACTGGATCGCGCACAAGGTGGATACGTGGAACATGTCTGCTTTTGTTTACTGCCCACATACCGACTAGTCCGCCAACACGCACGCCTTCTCCTACCACTGTCGGATTTCAAGTTAGTGTTCCCAGCCAAAGGCGAGCAAATCGCACAGCAGATGGCGCAACAAAAGACGCCGCGGCTTTGAATTTTGCACAGGCCCTTACGGATAACGCCTAACCTAGGCAAGATCCCATTTCGTAGCACTACCTGTTAGGGATAGGGGGTAGGGTTATGGATTAGGGTCAGCGTTAGGGTTGGGCGTTAAGGACTGGGGTTGGGCTTAGGGGTTAAGGTTAGGGGTTGGGGCTAGGGGTTAGAATTTAGGGGTTTGGGTTAGGGGGTAGGCTGGGGCTTGTCTACTACAGGTAAGGCTATGAAATAAGATCCGGCCAACCCATAAACAGACGCAAATATCCAGTTCACTAAAGTGCTGCTTCCATCGATCGACCACCTATCTCGCTTTCAACAAAACCTTGTAAGATGCAAACATACAAGAGAGACCATCCAACACATCGATGAGGCAGAACATGGCCACGGCAAGCGACGGCGTCCACTGCTGTATCACGAGATGGACAAAGCAGCATTTTGATGCTGAAAAGTGGATCACATCTCAGCTGCAGGAAGGAAAGTCTGATGTATTGCGGAGAGGTGTGGCGTAAGCGCATTCTGTGGGGTATGTTTGTGCGTAGGTTTGTGAGACTCGTCTGTTCGCTCCTATTGGTATATGGTGTGTGTTTGTGTGCAAACAGTACAAGATGTTGCGATGTGGTCTAGGCTGTGTAATTGGTGGCTATGCATTAGAACCGAATAGGCCCATACGCTGACTAGATGTTTTGAGACAATGAAGACAATTTAAGCGAGATAGACGAGCGCGTGTTAAGCGTCGTGAAATGGGCTCTCGGGACATTTGTGCTACATTTGTAAATGATCGGTTAGATCGATGCGTGATTCCTAGTTGCATCCGCAGTGATGACAGAATGGTGACGATAAATTGAGAGAGCAAGTGGATCGATTGCATTCTGCGACGCTGCCAGTGATGATGATCCGTTTGGTAGTGTCGGGGTGTCCAGCGGTGGGTTCACGTGACGGACGTATTAGGTCGCTCGCTTGCTTGAAGGTGTAGAATACTCAAAGCGTCCACTTGCTCGCAGCCGACTCCAACCTGTGGCTCCCAGAAGCTAGGCTCTATCTAGCGGCCACACCTCGACTGGCGAGCTAAACCAGGTGAGGGTATGCGTGTGTACATCTTAGCTCACGGTAAACTCGGTTGGTCGGATGCATCACGGCATCGGCACCGCCGAGACGAGGATCCGTCTGGAACACCGTAGGCGGTCGCAAGGTAAGTGAGACTCCAGGTAAGCAAACGTTGCTCAGCTGCCTTTGTCTCGCTTACTCTTCATTTCCTGCTCTCTATCTGCTTGTATGTGTCTGTCCTTGTTGAAAACTAAATGCCATTCTGTCGAATTTCATGTGTTGCCTTTGTTTCTTGCAATTCGTGCCTGCTTGCTTTTTGTCTGCCTGTTTCTGCCCGTATTCATTGTAAGCTAAATGCCTTTCTGTCGAATTTGTCTACTCACCGTCTATACTTCAGCAGTCAGTTGGCTTAGAGAGGGGCAGGAAAGCTCTTCAGACCGTCTTTCTACCCTCCCCCCTTCCCCTTCAAGCTTACGGCGATGTCGTAGGCAGACCCAGGCTAACTCTCCCACCAAGCAAAAGTCGTGGCCCATAGTGGAGGTTGGCAGCCGCCTGACGCAACTGAGCAGCCCTATCCAGAGAGAGTACTGCTCTACCCGCGAGGGCGAGGTGGGGCTAGAAAAAATGCTCTAAACAAATGCCGAGGAACCACGACGTCTGCAGGCTGACCGTGGTCGCAGACGTAAACACACTGTCGAAACACTCAAAATCGAAATAACACACTCTCGCTCTCTTCTCCCTCCTCATTCCCTCCGCCCCACTCTTCAGACTGGGAGGGTCAGTTCTCTCACTTTGGCAGCCTGCAATGTTCATTTCCTTCCAGACAATCAGAGGAGCAATCGACCGGAGCGAGGAACGACGCTAGCGGCTCGTGAACTGGCAGGCTACAAGATGGACATCGCTGCACTTTGCGCAAGGCCAACTGCAGGAGGTGGTTGTCGGATACACTTTCTTCTGGAGCGCTCTGGGCGTGTCTTTGCCATCCGGAATGACATCGTGGGACGACTGCCCTGTCTGCCTCACGGTATCAACGATTGCCTGATGAGCCTCCGCTTGCCTCTCCGGGGAGGCAAATTCGTCACCATCATCAGCGCCTACGCTCCGCTGATGAGCAGTCCGACGAGGCTAGGAAAAAATTCTACGAGGAACTGCACGCCTTCCTTTTGACTGTGCCGAGGGCGGGTATGTTGATTATCCTTGGTGACTTCAACGCCCGCGCCGGCACAGACAATGCTGTCTGGATAGGGGTGCTGGGTCCCCATGATCTCGATGGCTTCAACGACAATGGCCTGCTCCTCCTACGAACCTGTGCAGAACACCGTCTCGGACTCGGGCCGACAAGCCAGCACCGCATCAATTACGACCCCAGCGGTGATTGCGAGAACTGTTACTTGCAGCGCGCATATGGTCCCACGGCAGCCACGTGCTATAAATACTGCACTCCTGTTGCCACCATCATATTTATCTGCGAATGCCTCTGATGATGGATTCGAGTGAGAATCCGAAACGTCAGGCAAATAAATTTCTTGTTCCAATGATCGTATCTTCATCTTCTAAGCCGTCTCATCCTGAACAACACCTTCTTCCGCCTCCCGATACCAGAGAAGGCCACCTGGATGCATTCTCGATCGCGACACTGGCACCTGTTAGACTATGTCATCGTCCGTAGGCGAGACCAGGGGGACGTGCTGGTAACAAAAGCGATTCCGGGTGCTGATGAATTGACCGATCTCCGAGATGCGGATTCGTCTAGAGCCGCGCAAGAGACTTCAAGGTAAGCGACTCCTAAGTAAGCTGAATATTTCTCTGTTGTCTTTGTCTGCTAATTATCTCCATTTCAGCACCGAGCTAACTCGACGGCTAGATAGCCTTCCAGTCGCTTCTGCTGCCGTCGCTGACGAGAACTCCTCCGTTGAGAACCGATGGTGTCAGTTCCGGTACACAGTCCAGTCGACGATCTTGGCTGTTCTCGGTCGCGCACATCATCAACATCAGGACTGGTTCGATGACAACGACGCCATCATCAGCAACCCGCTCGTCGTGAAGAACCACCTGCACTAATCCTACGCCGATCGCCCCACTGACGACAACAAAACAGCCTTCTATCGCGGTCGCCACCTCGTACAACAGCGGTTGCGGGAGACGCAGGACACCTGGACGGCTCGCAAAGCTGAGGAGATCCAAGGCTACACGGACCCCAACAAATGGAAGAACTACTTCTCCGCGATCAAGGCTGTCTACGGTGCGCCGACCAAATGAACTGCTCCTTATCTCACCGCCGATAGAAGCACCCGACTTACCGAAAAGACACAAATTCTACAGCGATGAGCTGAGCACTTCCGAGGCTTTCTCGGCCGTCCCTGCTGAGATTTACAGGGACGGTGACCACCAAATCAAATGGTGCGTCAGCTCCACGACGGCCTGATGGCGCGATTCACGGATAATGGAGCTGTCTCAGAGGCGTTCGCAGTGATCAACGGAGTGAAGCAGGGCTGCCTCCTCGCGCCTACCCTCTTCAGTCTCACATTCTCTGCCATGCTGATGGACACCCTTGGATCCGCATTGCCTACAGGACGGACGGTCAACTGCTCAACCACCGGAGGATGCATTTTCTAACGCGTATATTCACAACCACCGTCCACAAACTTCTGTTCGCCGACGATTGTGCTCTCAATGCAACTACTGAGGGAGACATGCAAAGGAGCATGGATCTCTTCGCCGCCACCGCCGCCTGCGAGAACTTCGGTCTGATCATCAACACGGATAAGACGGTGGTCATGCACCGACCGCCACCCGAAACTGCTCACAATGCGCTGCAAATCGCCGTAAACGGAACCCAACTGCATGTGAAGGACAACTTGACGTATCTGGACAGCACCCTCTCCCGCAGCACCAAAATCGACCACGAAGTGTCCCACCGAATTTCCAAGGCCAGGCAAGCCTTCGGTCGTCTTCAGATCTCAGTCCACGCAGTCTGCCCAGTTGTTCTGAAAATGTAGTGCCGGACTGATGGCTGCGAGTCAAACCGTAACGGCCCGTTCTCAAGCCATCAGTGCCACTCTCATGTACGTGAGGAGAGTGTGTGTTCCTAATGGGTAGCGCCTCTCAGTCGCCGACTATTTATTTACCCAACCTTGAAGGGTGTCGGCGCAAGCTAAATGCAGGGCCACGTGTCGCCCTTCTAGGTTAAAAGGTCTGTAAGCGTGTGCTACGCCAGTATCGGCAAACAATGACCATCGCGCTCCAGGTGGGTATACACGTGGTGGCTATGCCTGCCCAGTCATCATCGTCCTTCTGACTCCTGTTGGGGTTCTGTTGTTGTTGTTGCTGGTCATTTGCTGTATGCACCAGAAGGTGTGGAGTAGAACTCCAGGGTGCGGGCTCGACCGTGCCATCCACCTGCGCCCTCCCCCGCCTCTGGTCTCCTTAACTCTGTCTTGACACCGGGTCCACGTGGGTAGCGGAAAGGGGAGAGTGCGGTAAATGCTGCGCAAGTCACCGTGTCTGCTTCACCTTTCAGTGGAGCACACGGTGGACATCGCCGGCAACGACGATCGAAATGTGTGGTACCGTCGATTTGAGTGGTTTGTCGTCACAGTGTACCCAAGGCCGTCCGACGTGTCCGGTGCATGTTGTGTACATCAGTTAGCAGTACGATCCGTAAGGTAACTGCTAGGAACTGACAGTGCTTGTCTGCGGTATTTGAGATGTGTGTTACTCCGTCTTTCGCTTGGACATCTTTTATGCGATGGGTTGTGCACCCTGTTCTACGTTTTACGTCAGCGCACCATGCTTGCTGACTACGAGTTATGGCTTAACCGGTGAAAGAACTGAATTGCTGGTGTTTTTCGAGGTATTTGGTGTTACTTTCCAACGACGACCATTATCACCGTCGGATGAAGGCTGTTTTGTTGTTTTCGCTTTTGTGGGTGGAATAGTACTTGCATCTCCGATTCTTTCTGGAGGTAAGATTTCAGATTTTAGCATCCTTGTGAACGCAGTCCTTGTGCCACAGCGTCTACTGACCTTTTTCCAGTGCCCTGAATTCCTTGAAATTCCGCAATTAACTACACTGGTCCAAATGGGGACATTTGTTTTGAACGAGAATGCTCGTGCTTGCAAATTGTCCGTAGGTAAGCTACTATTGAATACACCGCATAGGGACTACTGTAATCCCTTGTCAGCAGTGGAAGCTTATATTAGGGTTGTTTAACGTAGGGTGGGTCTACGGCAATCGTTCCGCAACTGGCCAAAGGGTGTGGTGCCACAGATTGAGCCCCATACCTACAACTGCTGTCATTCCTCACCTAAGGAAGTTATGGTCATAATGGATAAGCCAAAGAGCCGGTTCGCAGCGATCGTATCGTAAGTGTTTGAACGTATGCTACCATAGATTAAGCCGCATATCGACTACTGCGCTCGCTCTTCAGCTGTGGAAGCTAATGTCAAGGTTGGTAAACATAGGATGGTCTAACGCGATATTTCTCCAACTATTCTCCGATTATTGTCGTCGCTTGTGACCTAAGCATGCATATGTGAAGGATTGCAAACCAATGGTCAGTATACAGCGATCGTTTCTCAACTCTCCTAAGGTATGCAAGGGTAGATTTAGCCGCAACCTCACTACTGCTGTCACTCTTCAGCCGTGTAAGCCTAGGTCAAGGTTGATTAACCATGGCTCGCTCTGCAGCGGTCGCATCTCAACTTTTGGAGACTATGAAAATCTAAGTGAGGCCAAATGTGCACTCCTGATGAGATAAAATTGAGGTCGGATGAAACAACAAATATGTAGGGCCATTACCTACTCAAATAGGTATAGCAAATATTATTTATAGGCAATGGATATTTGGGTGCCCTCTCCCGATTGTTACCGTCTGATACTAATTTAAAATATGCATAAACAGCAAAGGGAAGCACCGTAAATAAATTTTATATCAGTTTAACGTTCCTGTAAACGTAGTCCTTGTGCCAAGGCGTCTATCCACCTGCTTCGAGAACGGGGATGTTCGTTTCTGGAGCTTACGTTTTTCTTCAGACGGGAATGCTGGCGTTGTTAATATCTAATCTGTCTTCTGTCTTGTCCAGTCATACTGCCTCTTAAGCATGCTGCCTTTAGAACTCTTGTATTTGAATTTATGCGTGTTTGCTGGGTATTTGTCTGTCAATTCGTTAATGTAGGCGTCTATCAGCGCAGAGAACGATGTGAGTCGGGAAAAAATGTGAGCGATTACAAAAAATTGTTACGCCCTATTTTTTTACCAGCAGTGCTTCCGAGACAAATTATGAACACTATAGACAAGTTAATTAAGCAACACCTATACTTGTACATGCCAGACGCATGAGACAATATTAATTTTCTCCCTTTCCTGGACGTCACTGTCTGCTTTTCATGCACAGGAATTTCTCTATCACACAGTTTGCCCGCATTTTCATGCGTCGTTAATAAATATTTCCTTTATTCTACAGGGACGAAACTATAGTCATAAATGAGGCGATTTTTCCGATCTGTGACATTAATGGCTCTTGAATGGTATAGCATTTTACTACTCATTTCAAACACTGCTTGTCGCAGAAATGAGTAAACTTTCTCATTTTGACCCGCACACACAATTTTGTTGCCACAGTGGCACTCCAGTATGAGAATAAAAGTGTCTGCAGTCCACTACTATGTGAGTGGCATGGGCCTTTGTCATAGTCTTTTGCAGTGCTTCAGGCCGTCGGCGGCCGTTGTCAGGCTGGCATTGAACGAATCTAGCATGCCTTTGACATCCGTTCCGGCCGCGAGTCCCGGAAGTAGCTGAATATACAAACTGCTTGGCAAAAGAAGTTGATACATTCAAGCATAACCCCCTAATTAATGCCATACTTTTCATAGGAGCCTGCCAGGCATACAGGCGCCCAGCGGTGATTGTCCCAGGAGATGCGACTGCAAGGACGACTGCCATAATCGTCCGCATATCGTCAGCAACCTCCTCAATCGTCTAAACAGCCATTCAAAACAGGGATTTCTCCCGGATGTCCAAGTGGAATTTCGATATAAGTGTCGTAGCGCCTACATGATCTTCGAGGTTCGACAACTGTAAGAGAAGTGCCGAGAAATTTACACCAATCTGTGTACTTCTGTCGTGGATCTGACGAGAGCTTTCGACACCATGAACTGCGAAGGACTCAAGATGATTATGCTAAAGCTCGGATGTCCGTGGCATTTCACTTAAGTTGTTCTACAGTTTCACGACGGAATGCTGGCGCGCTTCGCGAACAATCGGATAATCTCAGAAGCATTCACAGTAACCATGGGAGTGAAGCAGGGCTGTATAATGGCCATCACCATCTTCAACCTCACGTTCTCTGCCGTGCTGATGGATGCCTACAGTGAGAAACGTTCTGAGATCAACCTCATCTCTAGGACCGACGCCAGTTTTTAAATATAGGACGAATGCAAGCATTCACGCGAACATCAGCTACCACCGTTCATGAAACCCCATTAGAGGACAACAGGGGCAGTCGTGTAAAGAAGCATTGACCTCTTTGCTTTCGGCTGTGCAAACTTCGGACTGACCATCAAAACGGTCATGCGCCAACAAGCATCATTAGAAGAACATACTATGGTCAGGACCTGTGTGGATGTAGTTCGATTCACATCGGTGGACAATTCAATCGTGATCGGTGACGAAATAGCGCTTCAAATCTCTAAAGCCAGTCAGGTCTTCGGCCGGCCGCAGGGCTCAGTCCGGAATCGCCGCGACCTTTACCTCAACACCAAACTCAAGATGTACTAGGCGACAGTGCCGACAACGCTGCTTCAACAGACGGAAACATGGATCGCCTACGCCAATCAATACAGGAAACTGAAACATTTCCACTTCAGCTGCCTCTAGAGGATATTAAGCTAAGGTGGAAGGACATGATTAGTGACACAGAAGTTGTCGAACGAACCGGACTCCTGAGCATCCACGTCATGATGAGGCAAATCCAACTGCTCTGGAGAGGCCATCGCAAAAATATGGATGGTAGCTATCCAAAAGACTTTTGGATAACGACGTCTCTACGGATGCTCGCCA